AACAGGGCAGCAGCGGAGAAGGCTGCAGTTAACAGTTTGAGAGATCTGCCTGGAGGTGTGAAGAGAGCGAGGAGTGAATGGAGGTTATGGATGGCAGAATGGCACTCTCACTGCTCACGACAGACACCAGCACAGCTCTGTGGAAGCACAAATGTTTCCTCATCCATGCAGAAGGGAAAGTAAAGGGGTCAAGTACTACTGAGCCCCAGATTGGCCTGAAGCAGGACAAACAGCCCTCTGCCTTCAGGATGTGCCTTTATTTCTTGTTTATTCAGGTTATCTGTCTTGTAGGGAACAGGAGCTGAGGTGACCAGTCTTCCTGAGAACTGAGCTGTGTTTGCAGGAGTCAGGTGTTTCCCGACGCTTCATTGCCCCTATAACAACTTGCTGCCCCTATAACCATGGGGCCGTGAAGTCAATTATCCCCCTCCAAGGCTGACCAACCTCCAAACGAGGTGCGAAACAATGTGATGCTGAACAGCAGGGAAGAAGAGGTCTCTCCTTCACCACAGCTGATGACCCCCTAAAATTGTTGTTGGTGCTGGTTATTGGGGTTGCTGTAGCCTCTGTTCTGACTTTGAGCAGACTAAGCAAGGATGGTGCTACATACATGCATCTTGTAATTGTTGCCAACCAGCTGGATAAGAGGTGACTCTTATTCTTAAAAAAAAAAAAATAAATAAAAAAACTCAAACCATAATCCTTTAAAAAAATTGAAAGGCTTATTTCTTTAGAGGCTGTTTGTCACATACACTGATAGCACAGTCATGGTGCTGAGGGGATTAAATCCGGTACAGATGAGAAGTTTCAGTGACATTTTATTTGGAACAAAGAACTGGTGGCTGGAAATCTTCACTAGAAGAACGATGGTTCAGAATCAGAGATTCTTATTTTTCAGACCTGCAGCAAAGAGCATCTGTCGTGATTTGAAAACTCAAATATGTTTCCTGTGTAAGTACCTTGCTGTTTCTGCTGAGACAGCCAGGGAAGAAAATTTAAGAAAAGCTGGTTGTGTTTCTGTCATGAATGTTTTGGTGATGGATCTTGTGAGTAGAGGGCACCTGCACATAATGCAAATGCATTTAAGTCTTTTTCTCCTCTGATAAACACTGAATTTTGATGGCTTATTAATGCAAAACCTTCAAATTTTTGTTTCAAGCTACTAACTAATGGTCTGGTGGGGTTTTTTTAACTGTTTGTATCAAGGACAGGCGCATATGTAAGCTACAAAAGAATAGAGTTGTTAGCACATTAGGGTAAATACATGTCACAGAGAGCTTCCATGCTTCGTTACAACGAAGCTTCCTGATTCCTCATCAGGGACAGCAAACAGGCTGCTGAATGCTGAAGGCTCGGGCTGTTCTTCCCAGGCATTTGCTAGACTGTTAATTAGAGCTTCACCATGTTTCTGCTGATCCCTGCCTGTGCCTCATCTACTTGTCTTCTAATGAGTTTGTAGTCTACCTGGAAATCTTGCAAACAAGTTGGGGGGGAAGCAATCTGCATCAGTTATTTTCCCCTTCCTTAGATAAACGTCTTGCCCATAAAAAAAACCCCAAAATGCCTAATTACCTAAGGTTTGTGGTGTTTTAAACTTATGTAAGGGCAGCTACTGTAAATGCTGAAGAAACCAAGCTCACATTTTGCAGTTTGTTTTATTTTATTTATGTTGAAGTATTGGGGGGGAGGGTGGTGCTCGCTGAAGCTAGCATAAAACATGGTGTGAGTCAAAAAAACTAAGCCAGTTTATAGCTGTCTAAGAAGCTAACATAACCTGAGGAAAAAATTCACTTCAGGATGATGTTACAGAGATTCAGATGGATTTGGAGAAATACAACTAAAAAACTTTAAGGGGAGATGACATGCTCTGTACCTGTACAGTAAAACAGAGCAAGGAATCCATCAGTGACTCACATAGAGATGAATCACATCTCTGCATTATACCACGCTGCTACTAGGGCAAGGTTATGAATAAACTTTACATTCCATGAAATATAGAGTGCCTTCCCCTCCCCCCACTCTGCCTTTGATAACCCGAGAAGGCAGGCACCTAAGTATACACTAATGAATATGCAAATTGCCTTCCTAATGAGGTAAGTGCATTGCCAACCAGAGAACGGGTTACAACTGAGCAAATGCATGTAGCCCTTTGGGGTTCTGTACCTCCTGCAGCCACGTTCCTGTCTCTCGCGAACGTATGAATCGGGGCCTACACCCCACACAGGGGGTTCACAGGCAGAATGCTGAAATTAATAAAGCAGAAGTACTAAATTTCAGAGCTTTGGGCAATAGCACAGTTTGCCTTTAATGCAGATGAACTCTGTGGGCAGAGTCCAGTTCCTCATTGAGCCGAGGCACTGAGATGGTAGCAGCGTAGGTTTTGGAAGCCACCCTCAGAGTCCCTTGGGGCTGCTTCCCAGGACAGCCTGCATGTACATCCACAGAGCTAACTCCTTGCTCTGAGCCATTGTCAAATTTAATTCCTTTCCAAATTATTCTGTGTGTAGCTGGACAATGTGTCTTGCAGTTGCTTACTGCCTGGTCGTGGCCTCATGCCCTAAATCAAAATGAGTGCTGGTTAAACACAGAGCAGAAAATAGAATATGAGATTTGGGAGATAGAAGAACCTGGGCATGCAGGTGTAAAACAATAACACTGTGAGCATGAAAACTGAAGAAGTCTGACTTCCTATGGATTTGTTTCTTTTTGTTGGTTGCAGGATCTGCGAAGTTACTGATTTAGGTCTTTCTACTAATGAGGCGTGAAGAAAGCCTCTCCCCTGTGGGTCCTTTGGTGTTAGAAAAAGATTAGCACTGCACATAAGCTTTTTTCCCCAGCTACGGTATGCTTCAGGTCTCTCTTCTTCACATCACCAACTATTTTCATGACATTTGTAGGAATGTACCTTTGAGAGTGCTTCCCCTCAGCCAAATTTGATCAAAAGTCAGTGGAGTTATAATGAGCATATACATGTGGAGACTGTTGATTTAATAAGCCTCATGTCCTTAGGAAATCAGGCTAAAATAAAGGAACTATCGTGTCTGAAGAAACAGAACGATGCTATTTCTGCTGAGACCTTTCCCACCTGAAGTACAGTCAGGATCTAGCTGGCATGGCTGGTTTAGCAGTTCAGCAGCTAAGCGAGGATGCGGTGTCGGTGAATATGAGCATGCTCGGTGATGGATTTGTCAATGGCAGGAGGAGAAACAGTCACTCCACCTGCGAGGTGTAGTCCATCTCATTCCGGTACTACTTGTCAGGAGGAAAGGAGGACTCTTTTGTCAGCGTGCAATGCCTCGCTGTGATCAGCCAATGGACTACCCTCTCTTGAAATAAATGCACAGGTTTCAGTGAAAAATACCTTCTTTTTCCAGAAGTGTGGTGGAGCA